ACAGCAGGAAAAAAGGACAATTATAATGGAGACCTTGGCACTCCTGAATAATGAGAGCTGAGCTAGGGGTGCACAAGAGCAGGGGCCTTCAAAGTGAAGCAGCGAAGCTGAGTAATCATGGATGGGAAGAGTTAGGAAGGCAGAGAAGGATAGTGGTGGAAGGCATTTCTGACGAGGGGAACAGTGTATTCACACAGAGGTTTGGACGAATGTGGTGTAGTGTGAAAACAGGAAGCAGTTCAATAGGACTGGAGAGTCGTGGGTGGGAGGAGGTGGGCAGGAATCAGATCTGGGAGGGCTTCCGTATTGAGTGTCATGCCTAGAGTTTGAATTTCATCCCTAAGTATTTAGGCGCCTCTGAATGCTTTTAAGCAGAGCAGCAGTATTATCTAATTTGTGCTGCAGTAAGTTTGGAGAACAAAATGAGGTAGATCAGTTAAGAAGCAGTCGCACTGATTCAGGTGAGAACTGATGAAATTCAAACTGGGGCAGTGGTGATGGAGAGAAAGGACTTAGCCACTTAGATCTCAGGCATGAAGGTGGGGAGGAAAGAATGTCATAAAATTCCCGACTTGGTGCGATTTCCCCAAGACCAGGCATGAAAAGGAAGAGGAAGAGGTTTGCTGGGAAGATAATGAGTTCAGTTTGGGGTATGTTGGATTTGAGGCCTGCAGGAGACCCAAGAGAAATTGATCAGCAATTGGTTGGACACATAATGGAAAGGGGTCTGGGCCAGAGCATAGATTTGAGAGCCATGGGCTCTGGGTTATAGGTGGTGGTGAATAAGAGTCCCAAGGCAGAGCCTGTAGTGAAATGAGACGAGTGCCAAGGCCAGAACCCAGAGAATGTGCCCCTTCCCTCATTAAGGAGACTTCATGAGGAAGAGGGCCAGGTGAAAGAGAGGAGTCAGAGAGCTGGAGACCCAGAGAGAGTTGGGGGGGCGGGGGTCTTGGAAGGTGATAAAGCTGCTTTTGGAAATAGGACCTGGACAGCATGCAGAGTACTTCCCATCCAAGAGCTTGTTTCGTCCTCACAATGACACGGAAGTAGGAGCAATCACAAGAAGCGAGGCTCAGATAACCAGCAGGCCCCAAGCACACTGCCAGTTAATAGCCGAGCTAAACCTTGGACCCAAATCTTCTGATATCAAGGCCAGGACTCTCTTCACAATGCAGCTTCCTTTTAGTTAAAAAAAAACAACAACATTTCTCCTACCCTTTGTGATGTAAGAAGCAGGTTTCAATTAGCTTTTTGTGTAGGAAACATTTAGGTGAGAGTCCCACCTGCTCATCTGACCTTTGGTTCTTGTCCTGCCTCTTCTTGTTCACCCTTGGCTGGTCTAAATTCTACTCATTCTTGAAACTCCAGCTTAAAAAGTCTCTCCATAAAGCCTCCCCTGAGGATTCCAGTTTACTCTGACATTCCTCTTTTCTAAATTCCTTCGGCAAATACACGCCTTCCTGTAACGCCCTTCACCCCCCAGGCAAGTCATGTGTCATCCCCTCCCCTTGAGTTTGGGCAAGACCTGTGACTTGCTTCTTGGCAATAGGATATGGCAAAGGTGATGATGTGCCACTCACATGATTACAGTTGCATTGCGTGACAGTCCTTAGGAGACTGGAGGAAGAGAGTCCCCAATTGACCTTGAGGAAGAAAACTGCATTGCCGTGAACCGTCTGCAGAGAAGGCCCACGGTAGGGAACTGTAGGAGCCTCCAGGAACTGAGATTTGCCCCCACCTGACAGCAAGAAAGTTAGACCCTCCATCCTATACCTGCAAGAAATTCTGCCAAAAACTACATGAGCTTGGAGGAGGATACTGGCTCCACTAAGGAACACAGCCCAGGCAACACCTTGTTGCGGGATGGTGTTGAGACCCTGCAGACGGCCCAGCTCAACTGAGCTCAGACTCCTGACTCACAGACACTGTGAGCAAATCAATGTGTTGTTTTAAGCCAATAAATTTGTAGTAGTTTGTTACATGGCAGTAGATAACGAATGTAGCTCCTATTGCATTTATGGTCAGTGCCACTCAGTTTAGACCATAACAGTCGAATAGTTTTACTTTTGCAATCTGATCATAAGCCCCTTGAAAACAAGGGATTTGCCACATGTGACTTGTGCCCTCGGAGTGTATTGCAGGCACAAGAGAAGGAGCTCAACAAGTGTCAATAGAATGTTAGTCCAGAAAAGGACCATAAAGTGGCTAATATCACCTGCTGCATAGGGATACGGTAGGGATCGAATGAGTAATATGTGGAAAACACCTAACAGAATGTTAAGCACACAGCTTTTATTAATCATTTATTAAATAAATATCACATCCAACCCTATTCCCTCATAGTGCTGATAAAGAAATAGCCCCCCTCCACACACCCTGCAAGAAAAGAAATAGAACCCAGCGAGGAACAATGACTTGTCAAAGGTCACTCCGCAAATCATTTGCCTGAACTCAATCCTATAAGAACAATTAAACGGCTTGTGTGAGGCAATAAGGCATGCCCTTGCCTGTGGATTTGGGGATTGAAGAAAACAAAAAAAGGGGGGCCCTTTTTTAGGCTGTTGCCCTAATTCTGACTCCTCTTTCCTCTTCATTACCTTTTTGCACTTCTCCCATGAAGACCACATGAAAAATTACTCTTTTAGTAAATTGAGTAACTGATTTGCAAGAGTGGATAGTACCTAGAGACTAGAGAGGATTTATTAGTCAAGATTCCTTTAGTTGCAAGTGACATAAACTAGCTTAAGCGAAAACAGAGAATTCTTTCGTATCTGCTTAGTGTGTGATTATCATTATGTTCGTTCTCTATCAGCCTTCTGCAGTTGTAGAATCTCAAAGCCCTTTATCTGGTCACCATGTCATGCCCTTGTCTTCTACTTGACGACACACTACTTCTCTGAGATTGGCTGGGTTTCCCATTGGGGAGAAAGCTCTTACAGCTACACTGGCTGACTTTTTTTCTGTCATTTCCTTTCACCACACCTGACTGTCATGTTTCAGAGGGCCATTCCCAACTGACAGTTTTCACCACCCTTCCATTGGTGACTCCCTAGGCAATTGTCCCTCTGTGAGCTATGTCTCTTCATTTTCTCCAGGCCTCCCTCCTTTTCGTCAAAATCAACCCCAGTTTCCTTGTCCTAGAAATCAACTCCCAGAGCCAACAGTTGAGAAATAATGCTGTGGTTTGGGCGATCTCATAACAAAGTAATGTCTTCTGCATTGTTAGCATTACCCAGTGGGAAAAGGTGTGAGACTTGGGCCCTCTGCGTTAGTTCCTGTTTAGTTTTAATTCTTAATGTGTGTTTAGTGTGCTTTTGGCTGCAAGTACAGAAAATTCAAAAGTGTTTTAAACAATAAGGAAACTTGCCCTAGCTGGTTTGGTTTAGTGGATAGAGCATCGGCCTTCAGACTGAAGGGTCCCAGCTCAATTCTAGTCAAGGGCACATGCCTGGGTTGCGGGCTCAATCCCTACCTGTCTTTCCCTCTCCCTTCCTCTCTGAAATCAATAAAAATATATATATTTTTAAAAATAAATAAACAAAAAGAGTTCGTTTTCGACACTTCTCTCTGGTACTCCTGTCTCTAATCGCCTTTTTTCAATGTTTTCCAAGTCAACTCTAAGGTCAATAAATTTCTGCTTCCAAAAAAAAAATAAACAAAAAATAAAAACAATAAATAAATAAATAAATAAACAATAAGGAAATTTATGATCTCACATAAATAGCAAGATTCACAGTGGGTATTCCAGAGTTGGTTAATTCATCCGTTCATTCATATCATAAAGGATCCAGATTCCTTCCATCTCTCTCCTCTGCCATCTTCAGTGTATTGTTTGGCTAATTCCTCTCATGGTGGCAAAGTGGCTGCTGAGCGCCAGGCATCACCTACACACGTGGCCACCACATTGAAAAACAGCAAATAGCGAGCTGCTTCTTGTGTCTATTTGTAAAAGTAAAGAAACCCTCTTTGGAAGCCTTGCGTCAGCTTTCATGCCTTGTGGGCCAAAAGTTTATCACCTGCTGATCTTCTACACCAGTCACCGGCAAAGGAACTGAAATGACTGTGGTTGGTTCAAACTAATCGAGGTATATCCTGGGGCTAAGAGTAGCCACTTCCCTGTGTGCATAGCTGGCCAGTGAATCAAGAACCAAACTGGCTCTGCCAAAAAAAAGAGGATGGGAGGAAGGGAGTACGAGGAGGATAAATTTGGATTAAGCAGCCAATTGTATCTGATGCACTTATCTTCTCTTCAACTTGGTTTCTCCAGCTGCAACCTAGAGATGGTGACACCTACTTCATCTGTCTATGGAGATACTTCAAGAAATAATATTTCTGCAGGGCACACTTATGAAAATAGTTTAATTAAACAACAGTGAGGCAATGCTACAACATAGATGAACCTTGTAGAGACATTATGTTAAGTGAAATCAGCCAGTCACCGGAGGACAAATATTGTATGATTATTCTTATATGAGATTCCTAGAGTAGTCAAATTCATACCCAAAGTAGAATGGTGGTTGCCAGGAGCTGGGGAGAGGAGGAAATGGGTAGTTGTTGTTTAATGGGTGTGGAGTTTCAGTTGGGGAAGATGAAAAAGTTTTGGAGATGGTTGGTGGTGATGGTCACACAACAATATGAATGTACATAATGCCACAGAATTGTATAATTAAAACTGGTTAAAATGGCTTTATGTTATATCAGCGGTTCTCAACCTGTGGGTCGCGACCCCTTTGGGGGTCGAACGACCCTTTCACAGGGGTCGCCTAAGACCATCGGAAAACACGTATAGAATTACATATTGTTTGTGTGATTAATCACTATGCTTTAATTATGTTCAATTTGTAACAACGAAATTGGGGGTCACCACAACATGAGGAACTGTATTAAAGGGTCGCGGCATTAGGAAGGTTGAGAACCACTGTGTTATATGTACATTTTATCACCAAAAAAAAATTTTTTTAAATAAAACTGAAGCTATTTAAGATATAGAGAAAAGGAATTGTTCTAAACTTGACAATGTACAATATACTAACTAACTGTAATGTTGAACTTTTGTCTGTTTTAATTAGTGGGTGGTAACCCTTTCCCAGCCTCATCGATCACTTCTTTCCCCGTCATGTACCATTTCTCCCTTTCTCCTTAAACCATGATTGTTTTCACTGAATCGCAGAGCAAGACTTTCCACCCCCAAAAATGCCCTGCAAGGAAACCCCCTGAGCAGAATAGAAGCAGCTGCCACCCCCCGGACTGTCCCCTTGGAGGTTACCTGCAGCTGTTGTCCTTCGTTTCCTAGTCCTCCGTCTATAGCTGGCTCTCCCCACGTCCGTACCAAGAGCCTTGGGGACAAGGAGGCAGAGAGGAGACTCGGCTCCAGAGACAAGCACGAGCACCAGTGGGTGTTGGCAGCTCTTGCAGGATCTATTTACTGCCAACACATATGTACTAATATTTACTGATCTCGCAGATGTTCGCAAATGAGGCAAAGCTGTGAGGAGCTGTGCAGAGAAGCGACAACTCTGTATCCAGCCCCAGCACCCCTGCATGGCTGGGCCAGGTAATTCCACCTGAATCGACCAAAGTCCTCACCCCCACCCCATGTCTAGTGCCCAGAGCTGAGTTCTATCACGTAAACTTGAAATCAAAGGTCTCTATTCATATGTAATCTACTCACTCCAGTCTCTTCCAAAAAATATCATAGATTATGAAGATCTTTTAACACGGAGCACCCACCACTCCCTTAAATTCCCATCCCAGAGCTTAATCACACTATCAGAAGGTCCCTCCTTACCTGTGATGTGTAATTAAAATAGATTCTAGGCAACTGGCGTCCAGCGAGAACGATGTGTGGCCCCCAGTGCGCAAACACCGAATGTTAGCAACCAGGCGTCCGCATTGAGCTCCTGGTACCAGGGCTCCCTCCAGAAATGATTCTCTTTTGTTCAGTGACCCTGGTCAGTCACCCTGCAACCCGCCTGCTGGGTACAGAAAAGGGAATCCATTTCTGTTCAGCTGCCATTGACTGAGTACCCACCATGTGCCAGGCACTGGGCCAGGCCCGGGGACACAGAGATAAACCATCAGCCCCTGCCCTTTAGGAATTCTTGGGTCGGGCTGAAGGGAGAGGCATATATGAAAAAACAACAACAACAATGGTTCTACAGTGTGATAAGTTTTGTACCAGCTGCTATGGGAACACTGATGAAGGATGCATAATTTTCTGGGGAGTGTCTGGGGAACCAGGGAAAGACTTCATCAAACAGTGTCATTTGAATGGGGTTTGGAAGGATGAGTAAAAACGTGCTAGAAGGATAAGGCTGGGGAAAGAATTCCAGGCAGAGGGAACAGCATATGCAAAGGCAGAGAGGGAAGGAAGGACATGGTGTGTTTGGGAAACACTGGCCATGTGGCAGCGGTCCAGGAATGAGGCTGGAGGAGTGAGGCAGTGAGCAGCTTACGCCCATCATCATCCCTCCATCGCCCTGGGGAAGGGGGAAAACAAATGGCAGCTCTAGCTCTCTTGCTGGTGAGTGACTAACGTCATGTTTCTATGTAAAGATCCTATCTTTACCTTCTTGTTCTGTGGATGTTCTGCGTCTTTTGTAAGATTGTAATCTAATGGGAACTGTCTTTTCAAGGAATCAAGATTGGTTGTTATCTGAAAAGGCCCTTGGACAGGTCATTGGGGATCTTTGGGCCATTGTATGATCTGAAATGTGATGATCGCTGATTAGAACTCTGCGGAGCCTGATATTTGATAGAGGAGGGAACGGGGCTCATCATGGTAGGATAAGCCAGGCCAGCGCCCAGCCCTCCTTACCACCCTCACCAAACTTCCTCTCCTTCCTTTCATACCCGGAAGGTGCCCAGGCTGATGCTCTTCGTTCGGTAGACTCATGACAATTCTGGTTATTTCATCCTCTCCAGAAAAAAAAAAAAAAAAATTAGTGTATGGCTTGGCTGAGCTTTCTGGAAACTTCCACAACCAGGTCTCTCCTGAGTAAGGGCTTCTTAAACAGGAGCAAAATGAACTGAAACTTTGCAAGAACTCCAGGAAATGCTGGTCTAACACAGGAGCCTTACAAATGAGTTTTTAAAATCATCTTACAGCTTGCCCGGAGGCAACTTATACTAGGACAGGGATATATTTTCAGTTTTTCATAAAATATTTACTTTCTTAGAATCCAATTTCGTTTTAGTCCTGGTCTTTTATCTTTCTGATACTAGACTTAATTTGCAGAACTGCTCCCCGGTCTCACCCCAACCTGGCTGGCTGCCCTTTGCCAAAGAAGTGCCTTTGTGATTTACAACAGGGAAACTCCAGGGATCCAGGGGACGCCTGAGGAGAGAGCCTGCTGGTCTTTCCGGGGCCACGTGGAAAGAAGGACCTGCTGCCCTCTTGTGGCTGAAACCTGCGGTGCAGTAATTCCTCCACTTGGCAAATGTTAAAAATCCTCATGTTTTCAGGTTCTCCGGCTGACTAAATGTGGTCTGGTTAGGAGAATCCAGTCCCAGAGCCCTTATTCTCAGCCACAGGTGTGGCTGGCAGTGATCAACACAAAACTATGTGTAAGGATCCTATGTAGCATGACTGGCACACAGCAGTCACTGAAAATGCGAATTATTACATCACAGCACTGAGAATAAGGGACTGGGTTGCCTATGACCAGGTCCTGGCTCTACACATCCTACCTATGCATCCTTACTGTCCCCATGTGTCAATTTCCGCATCTGTAAAATGGGAATTAGATGATAGCGCCTGGCACATTGTGAGCACTCGGTAAACGTTGTTATTAAGTAGACGTCATTGCCTTCATTTTATGGATGTGGAAATTAAAGAGGAGAGAGATTAAATAACTTTTCCAAACCAGCATGGCCAGTAAATGACAGATCTAAGATTATAAGCAAGATCCAAAGCCCATGCTGACTCCTTGGCTTAAGGTGGATACTTCGCTATTCCCCTCTTGTTGAATGACTGACTAAATACGAGAACAAATGAATAAATGAACTACTGCTGAAGGCAATGCTAAAAGTTGTAATTGACCCTTACATGGGGAGGATATTAGTACTCAGGATCTGCCTCTTCCTCACTTTCTGAAACAAACTGAGTAGATGAAAACAATTTTTAGAAAAAGAAAGAAAGAAACGAGTGAGCACCCTCTTCAGCAGAGACTTTCTGAAACAAACTGAGTAGATGAAAACAATTTTTTTTAAAAAGAAAGAAACGAGTGAGCACCCTCTTCAGCAGAAGAGAATACAGGTTTCTACTAGATCAGTGAGGACTTACTAAGCATCTACTTTGTGGCAGTACTAGGGCCAGGCACTCTGGGGACTAGCGATGTCCCTGACACTTCAAAGCTTACAATCTAGTTAGGGGAACAAACATATGCAAATCCTGGATTATAGTGTTATAACTATTACATCCTAAAACCGGGTGAAACGGATTATTTGTGTTAATTGAGTTCGGAAAGGAAACACACAGCAGGGCTTGAGAATCCTGGGAAGGCTTCCTGGAAGAGCAATTCAGGCTGAGTCTTGAAGCATGAGTAACTTTCTTTGATGTTATTGTTTATTCTTTCCTCTCCATCTCCTGTATCCAACTGGTCAGTCACAAAGGCCTCTCGGTTCTTTCCAAATGACTCACACCAGTGCCTTCCTTTCCAGGTCAGCAGCCATTAACCCAGCTCAGTTCCTCATCACTTCGCACCTAAGGTGTCTTCATAGTCTATCCACTTGTCTCTTTGCCCTCTCCTTTACCTTTTCAATCCACACCATCCACCTCTTTTGGATTAGCCTTCCTAGTTTACCATGTCACTCCTATGATTCATTCATTCCAACTTCCCTTCACTAATATTTATTAAGCACCTACTATGCGCCAGGCATCACTCTTCACTCTTCTATACACTAGGGACACGCCACTCTTCTAAGTACTAGGGATTCAGTGTTGAACAAGACAAACAAGGAAGATCCCTGCCCCCTCTGGAACGTACATACTAATTTTTAAAAAACTCCAATGGAGACCTGTTGCTTTCAAGGTTAGAATCCAGACTCCCCTGGCAAGGCCCACCTTATTTGCCTCCCAGTCCCCTTAGCCTCCCCCGACTTTCCAGTAGGATTCTTCAGCGGGACTCACTGTCCCCCACACATTCTACATTTATCTCCAGTTCCTTGGACTTACCTGCCCAAATCCTCAGGGCCTGGTTGGAACTCCACATCCTCCCCACTTCCTCGGACAGCGCTATTTGCTTCTCTCATATTAGCATTTCACCTGTTACATGATCACATTATCATTCACCTACTCCACCGGGGCGGTTTTTCTCCCACCCACCTGACAAGATTGCAAGTGCTGGAGGGCCACAACCCTGTTCTCTATTTTTCCATCCTGACCTCCCCAGCACCTGGCACAATATTGTGCAAATAATGGTGTGTTTTTTTCCCCTCTTCCTCCTCTTTCTCTTTGTTCTCTCCTAACAATAACACTAACATCTGTGAACACCTTACAAACTGCTTTCATATACATTATCTTCTATAAGCTGCACAATACTGGTATATCAATTATCAGTAAATATTGAGTGGGTGAATAGGTCAAAAGAGGAAGGCATTCCAGGTGAAGTAAATAACACCAGCAAACGCACAAAGACAGGAATGATCGGCATGAGCAGCAGGCAGTGCGGGAGCACAGCCCTGCTGGGCAGAGAAGAGTGAACACCGGAGGGAATTTGGAAAATGAAGACTAAAGGTAACAAAAAATCCAGACAAACAAATTCTACGTCACTAACATGGTTAGCAGTTAGCTGTATTTAATTATTTTTAAAATAAAATATTATTGACTCACATATATGCAATCATTGGCTTTGTAACCCAGCAGTTTATGGTATATTTATTCAGTGGGTGCGAGCGGCAACTACTGCCCTGATCGCCCTTCAGGAGCAGTGGGAGGTGGAGAAGCCCTCAGGGGTGATTGGAGCCAGCAACCGCCACTCGCACCCGCTGATGGTGCTGAGTGATCGGGACCAGCGCCGGGCACTGGCAGTGGGTGCAAGCAGTGGCTTCGGCGCTGGCTGTGGGTGTGAGTGGGGCCAGCGCTGGCAGCAGGTGCGAGCGCCGGGTGAGATTGTGGTGCACGGGAACAAAGAATTTTCAGTAACCACCAGAGGCTCGCCCAGATGACAGTGACCGGCGCCCTGCCTTGGTCTGGCGCCCCCAGCTCACCTGCTCCACCATCCCACTGCAGCCGATGCCCGCCATGTTCTGGGTGTGCCTCCTGGTGGTCAGCACACGTCATAGGCACCGGTGGTTCAGTTGTTCCGCCATTCGGTCTATTTGCATATTAGAGTTTTATATAGATAGATTGTTGACATACAATATTTATTAGTTTCAGGTATACAACATAGTGTGTCTACACTTATATACCTTATGATGTGGTAAGTTTAGTAACCATCTGTCACTGTAAAGTTATTACATTATTGACTAGATTCCCCATGCTGTAAATTACATACCCGCGACTTATTTTACAACTGGGAGTTTGTACCTCTTAATCCCCTTCACCTTTTTCACCCATCCCCCAATCCCTTCCCTAGTGGCAAACATCAGTTTGTTCTCTGTATGTAGGAGTCTGTTTCTGTTTTGTTTGTGTTGTTTTTTTGTGGGGTTTTTTAGATTCCACATGTAAGTAAAATCATACAGTATTTGTCTTTTTATGTCTGATTTATTTCATTTAGCATAATATTTGTAAGTAAAATCATACAGTATTTGTCTTTTTATGTCTTGGCTTAATTTCACTTAGGATAATATCATCTAGGTCCATCCATGTTGTTGCAAATGGCAAGATTTCACTTTTTTACTGATGAATAATATTCCATCGTATATATGTACCACATCTTCTTTATCCAATCATCCGTCGATGGACTCCTAGGTTGCTTCCATATCTTGGCTATTGTGAGTAACGCTGCAATGATGATAGGGCTGCACATATCTTTGCAAATGAGTGTTTTCATTTTCTTTGGATAAATACCCAGAAGTGGAACAGCTCTAATTTTAATTTTTTGAGGAACTCTTTCCCACAGTGGTTGCACCAATTTACATTCCCACCAACAGTTCCCTTTTCTCCACATCCTCACCACTTGTCATTTGTTGATTTTTTGATAATAGCCATTCTGACAAGTGTGAGAGATGTAGTTCTTTCTAGCCTTTTTAGAAACAGTTTTTCTTTCGCAAAGCTGTAATAAGTGTCCATAAAATTATGTGTCCTACTTTTTTCACTTAACATTCTAAGCACAGTCCCCTGATGTGACATAGTCTTCAGAAAGGCCGTTTGCAGTGAATGCGGAATGTTCCAGAACGGCTGCATCTGAAATGTGCTTACCCATTGCTCGACTGTAGGACACGTTTCCCATTTTACACCGTTCTCAGCACTGCAACAACCTCTTGTGCAGGGAGAAGAAATGGAACAAAATTGGGTCTTAGGTAAGACCTCAAAGTGCTCTACGAAGGCTCACCTGAGCCCAGAGCGTCTCTAGACGTCTCTGTCATCTGAGCCAGTAAAATTGATCCTCTATTGCTTAAGCCAATTGGAGTTGTATTCTCTCTGACTTGTAACCCACATCATCCCACCTAACAAAAGGGCTACGAAGGCAGGATCACACTTGTCTTGCTTACTGCTGCACAGAGTAGGTGCTTAATAAATACATGTAGGTGAAAACATATGAACTGTTTTCTTTTAAAACTGATTTTAGAGAGAGAAAGAGGAAGAGGGAGGGAGGGAGAGAGAGAGAGAGAGAGTGAGAAATATCCATCTGTTGCCTCCTGCATGGGCCCCAACCAGGGATTGAACCCGCAACCCAGGAATGTGCCCTGACCAGGAACCAAACAGGCAAACTTTCCAACTGAACCAC